GAAAAGCATCGAGAGAGAAAAGAATTTTTTTTTTGGAAAGATAAAAAATAATTACCTAATAAATCATTTTAGAGATATATTGTGAATAAAAAAAAGGAAAGATGGGGTTTTTCGTACTTTTACTAGTTATCTCGGTTATTCTAGTTATTACAAAAAGTTAAGAGTTATTCTAGTAAGTTCATATATGATTTGAGTCATTCTAAGTAATTTCTCTATTTATTTTCTATCACTCAACACTGAAAAGTGAAAAAGCTATATGAATTGAACCCATTAAATTTTAAGTTTTGATATATAATTCTAATTATAATTATTTCTGATCTTACGTATGGATAATTATATAAAAATTCAAAAATTTTAAATATATATAAAAATAATCATATGTAAATGTTAAATTTATCAATACTAAAATTTTATATTTTAGGTACATATACACAAAAGTATTAAATGATATTTAAAGTACGTAATCCTAAACATCAGTCATGTATTTCTCTAGAATCAAATTCGATTAGACTCATAATATCGCCGTTCGAGGAAAAATATTTTTTAATATATTCACACATATTTATATTATATGTTTATATTAAATTGACTAATTATATTTTAATATACAGTTTACAATATTTATTAACTAATTATATTTAATTAATTACAAAGTTTCTGAAAAGTAAACAGTGAGTACTTTAAAAATAGATTTTCTATTTTTATCGAACAATAACAGGTTTTGAAAGTTACAAAGTATTTTCTAACGATTTATTCTTGGTTCACCAACTAATAATGTTCTATTATTATATAGTTAATATTTAAAATTTATTTATCAACTTATATTATATTTTAAAATAAAAAGGTAAAAATAAATAAAAAAAATAGAAAATATCATTTTATAACATTTTTAATGTTGTCAAGAAAATATTAGACGATAATCCTAAATTATAAATTCTAAACCTTTAGATAACTCTAAATCTCCGGATAAATGCTAAATCAGAAACACTAAACACTAAATCTTTAAACACACAAAATCCTTAATCCTAATCCATAAACTCTTGGATAGATTGTAAATTCTAAGTTTATGATTTATCTAAAAGTTTAGAGTTCAGTGTTCAGAATTTAGTGTTTAGTTTTTTATTAACGGTATTTAAAATATTTTGAATTTTATTTATTTTTATTTAAGGGTTTAGGAGTTAGGGTTAAAATTTAATGTGATTTATAGTTTATGGTTTATCTAAGAATTTATAGTTTATTCATGAATTTAGAGTTTAGAATCTAAAGTTTATGAAATAATATTTTACTGATCGTGTTAAAAATGTTAAAAAAATTATAACTATTACTATTTTTTCTTTAAGAAAAAACACAATATAATTTGTAATATTTTGTTTCTCTTTTTAAAAGTATTAAATACATAATAATGTAACTCTATTGTTTGATTAACTTAGAGGCTGCTTCCTAAGTCGGATTTGAATTCAGATTCCATTTTATTTTAACTGAAGTAAGTTGAGAACTTCATCTTTCTAACGCAAACCCAATTTTGTGACATCATATATTTCCAGAATTAGTTCATGATTAGAAATATAATTGAAAATACCTTTGACCAAAAAAATATTTAAAAATACCTAACTTAGGCTAAACCAATTTTGTAAGAACATTGGCATTGGTTTATCTGTCATGTTCCTTAAAAAGCTTTTCAAACAAAATCATTTCCTTCTCTCTTTCTATTTTCTCTTTTAATTTATTTTATTATTTAAATTTTGAGAAACACCTCTACATATCACAATTGCCAATGGCTTGAACTGGTGATGATACAAAGGTAAAATAATTTGTTGAGAAAGAATTTTTTTGTATTCTACTAATAATTAAACTGCCCAGTTGTTTATATTCGACTAAAGCTTGTTCTATTTTTTTTTTTTTTTGCTTCAGGTCTGCTCTTCAACGTTCTAATCTTCTTTTAAAACTAGCGTGTCTCCCACACTACTTCAAAACCTAAATTTATATAAATCCTCATCGAAACTTTCGATTTGAGAAATGAATACCGTAAAAAAAAAAATTCAATAATTATAAACAGAGCAAATTTAGGGAGCAAACATGCGCACAAAGTTTCAAAGATCACCATGATTAGTGTGCAGAAAGCACATGCACACCACCATTCACAGTTTTTTTTCGTAGAACTTTACAAAGAAAATATTACTTAATCTATACAAAAACTAATATTAAGAAAAACAACAACTTTGACATTGAAACAAAATCATACCAAAGACTAAAATATCCTCGCATGTAATTATCTCTATGTCATAATTTTATATGCACATGAAAACATGAAGAATGCATAAAATTTATGGATATCTATGAACAACAAACTGACATATCTGAACCTGAAAAATGCTAAAAATAGATCAAAAGTTCATTATGTGAAGCCTCTATATTGAAGGAAATGTTATAGAACTAATATGATCTTTATAATACCACAAAAAAAAATTACGATCTCAATAATCTGGAAAATCAATGCAATGATTTTTATTACTATTATGTTTGCACACTTTTAAATTTTAATGTTTTCTTATTTTTAATTAGCTCTGCTTTACTATATTCTTCACATTCAATATAAAATTCTACTATTATTAAAAATTTAACTTCAAATAATTACCACTTCCACTACAATAGCATGTCCAAAAATATGATTTTAACATAAACTGTAATTACTCTTATAACATACATAAAGATTACCTACAATCCAATCATTATGAGTTCAAAATCTTATAAACCACAAATAATAGATAAAATATAGGATCAAATTTTTATAAAAGAAAACAAAAAAGACCATTTGAAACTCTTACAGTAAATTAATGTCACAACTCTTTAATATAGAAATACATATTATAAATAAATAATATACATCTTATCACATATAATTTTTTTTCACCTAAAATTTTTCAAAAAGGCAAAAAAAAATTATATAGACATCACTTGTAATACAAACCTTAAAAACCATAAAATAATAATAATTTAGATCACGTATATTCCGTCCGTAAGACGGACTAATCCTAATTAAACATATTATAGAATTATTCTATTTTTGAGTAAAAAATGAAGTTCTAAATTGAAAAAGTCTAATCCATATGCCCTTGTGTTGTTTTTGCATAGAACCAAGAAAATATATTTTTAACTTGTAAAATTGGACTGTATAGCTACAAAATAAACAATAATTAAGTATCTAACAAAAAAATAAGTACCTCCACTATTTTTATAATATATACTATATTATCCCTAATCTCCGGTCAACGAAAGCAAAAAATATCTTCTTCTTCTTTTACCAACTACCACCATTTTTCCTCTGATCTCCACCATTTTGCTTCCATCACCATTACAATACGTTCAACACCAATTTCATAGTCAGTATAACCACTTCTATATCTATAATCTGTGCTTCTGAAATCTACAGACCACGATGGCGTTATGGTTGAGACATCTTCGTTGTCATGTAAAGCCCCATTTGTACTATGTTATTTGAATAATGTGTACTATACTATTTCGTTTGTTATTATTCTGTTGTAATAATGATTCATATTATGTACTGTATGCATATTTTGATATTTGGTTAGGGTTTATATAGTTATTTTTAGTGTTCAGTGATTAGTGTTTTGGGTTTAGTTTATGAAAGATTTGGATTGATTTTGGGGTAAACATTTTTTTCTTTCTCTGCAATCATATACATTTCAAAATTTGAACATTAATATGTACTATACTATTTTGTTTATTACTATTCTATTTTGATAATGCTTTATATTATGTACTATGTACATATTTGATATTTGGGTTAGGGTTTATATTTGCTTTTAGGGTTTAATGATTAGCGTTCTGGGTTTATATTTCTTTTTAGGGTTTAGTAATTAGTGTTTTGGGTTTATACTTATTTTTAAGGTTTAGTGATTAGTGTTTTGGGTTTATATTTTTTTTTAGGGTTTATATTTTTTTTAGGGTTTAGTGATTAATGTTTTGAGTTTATATTTATTTTTAGGGTTTAGTGACTAGTGTTTTGAGATTAGTTTATAGAAGGTTTGGATTGACTTTGGGGTAAGTAACGCCTCATTCCTTGCAATTATATACATTTCAAATTTGAACACTAATATGTATTATGCTATTTCGTTTATTACTATTCTATTTTGATAATGTTTTATATTATGCACTATGTGCAAATTTGATATTTGGATTAAGATTTATATTTTTTTATGATTTCGTGATTAATATTTTGGATTTAGTTTATGGAAGACTTGTGTTGATGTTGGAAAAATATTATGTCCCCTATTATTAAATGATTTTATAATTTTATTAATATAAACTATATCATTTAGAATGTACTATTCTATTTACACTGTTTATCTTCTTCAACAACCTTATTTTTTTCCGATCATTGCAGTAAAGCATAACCAATATCATAGTTGTAGTAATCTTTGTTTGAAAGAGTTTCATCCATAATTATTTTTCCATAGTCACCATCTTCATAATCACAATCACCATCGGTGAGATAACTAATATCATTGTTCCGATAATCACTACCGCCACAATATTCACCGTAAGTATTGATCATAATTTTTTTCTATTACCGGCAACCAGCTTAAAAGAAGGACCAAACCGGAAAAATATTGCACAAATGCTATGGGATCTAATAACGTCAAAATCAATGTTATATTCTTAATTCGTTGCTGAAATATAGCTAGTTGGCAAATAATCCTTTTAACTTTACTGTTCTTCTACCCGACTACTTTTCTAGTGTTGAAGTTATTCTCTCGAAATTGTAACTCTTTTCTTCAAACTTTTTTTCTTTTAAATTACGGTAAACTTTTTCTTCGAAATTAAAATATAAAATGAGAGAATGTAATACGTGTCATATTTAGTGGCTATGATGTGGGAATAATTTGATTAAATGAGATTTGGAGGAAAATATATATCTCAAGTCAATGGAGAAAAAGACGAACAAAATGCTATGATGAGATGAAAGAAGAGCAACTTAAAGAAAAAGAAAAAACCCTATTCCGCACATGTCTGACCCTCTCTCTCTCTGTCTAATCACTCTGTCAAAATAAACGGAGCGGAGACAGAGTTGCCTCCACGTTTGTCCAGCCAAGAATCACGCTCCTTCCCTTTCACCACATTCCTTTCTGTCTTCCCCACATTCTTCACTACCTTTCCTTTCTTCTTCTTTTGCTCAGAAAAATATTCTTTTAGCTTCTCGATTCCTCCTCCACTGTTTGCTCTCATTTTCTCGTTCGAATACCTAGGGGGTAATCAAGTGTTTTACTGCTCCGAATTACCATTCGAGCTTCATCTGGGATCAGAATTTTGGTTAAAATCTTTCCTTGTGGGTTGTGAAATTCTAGGGCAGATCTTTGTAGATTTTGTGATTTTTTAGCAGGTTGACTTCAAGTAGATCAAAAAAATGAATCGATAAGAATTGGTTGTTGATTCGTATTGGGAGTGCGATAATAGAAGAAATGAGTTTGGTACCTCCTTTGCCGCCGGTTTTAACTCCACCCTCCTCAAACTCTTCAACCACCGCACCTCCTCCTTCATCCTCTCCGCCCACCACTCCCTCAGTTCCACCTCCTGTCACACCACCTCCTGCTCCCCCTCAATCACCTCCCCCTTCGTCACCACCACCACCTGTTAATTCATCACCTCCACCGTCTTCCTCACCTCCACCACCAGTCGTCTCCTCACCTCCTCCCACCACAGAAGCTTCTTCTCCTCCACCTCCTGTGGTCGTTGCTTCTCCTCCTCCCTCAACGCCACCACCAGCTCCTCCCCAAGATTTCTCTCCCCCTCCTCCGCCTCCTGAATCTTCTCCTTCACCTCCGGCACCACCCACAACAACATCCCCTCCTCCGCCCCCATCAAACACACCTTCTTCCCCTAAACCATCTCCTTCTCCTCCCTCAGATACACGCTCTCCACCACCTCCCTCAGATAAACCCTCACCTCCTCCTCCTCCTCCAGGATCCACCTCTACACCTCCTCCGGCTTCGCATCCCACAGATCCTGCTGCTTTAGCTCCTCCTCCAACTCCATTACCTGTTGTTCCAAGGGAGAAACCAACTTCACCACCTTCCACCAATGGAAACAACACTTCCTCCTCTCGTTCATCTCCCAGTGGTGGTGTTGGCACTGGAGGTATTGCAGCTATTGGAGTCATCGTTGGATTGCTTCTCCTCAGCCTTTTTGTCTTGGCTTTGTGGTTTACTCGGAAACGAAAGCGAAAGGACCCTGGAGCCTTTGTTGGTTACACTATGCCACCTTCCGGTTACTCCTCTCCTCAAGGCTCAGGTAATAATACTATGCACACACTTGAGTAGTTAGTATGTTAAATGAAACTTTCACTTGATTCTGCTTAGTGTCTGAGTGTGTGTTTTCGTGTTGACTTGACAGATGTAGTGCTCTTCAACACGAATTCGTCAGCTCCTAATAAGATGAGAAGCCACTCTGGTAACGACTACATGTACGCCTCCTCTGATTCAGGGATGGGTAGCAACCAAAGACCATGGTTTTCATACGATGAGTTAGCTCAAGTCACTAATGGCTTCTCCCAAAACAATCTTCTCGGTGAAGGGGGGTTTGGTTGTGTCTACAAAGGCGTTCTTGCAGACGGAAGGGAAGTTGCGGTTAAACAGTTGAAGATTGGTGGAAGCCAAGGGGAAAGAGAGTTCAAAGCTGAAGTTGAAATCATTTCTCGTGTTCACCACCGACATTTGGTTACGCTTGTCGGTTATTGCATCTCGGAGCAACATAGGTTGCTTGTATATGATTATGTACCAAACAACACTCTTCATTACCATCTCCATGGTACGTTACCTTCTTAACACCAAGAAATTATCCTTTTATATAACTAGATAAACTTAAAAGCATGTGTTTTTGCAGCTCCAGGAAGACCGGTTATGACTTGGGAGACTCGGGTAAAAGTTGCTGCTGGTGCAGCTCGTGGTATTGCCTACTTACATGAAGACTGTAAGTTACTGCTGCTTCTTGGTTTACATTTATGATTTTTGTAGCTTCCTTACTTATGTTATGTTTGTATAGGTCATCCTCGGATTATTCACCGTGACATTAAATCTTCAAACATACTCCTGGATAACAGCTTTGAAGCCTTGGTAACATCATATCAGCTCTACTATTTAGTCATTGTCACGGATATCTTGGTTTCAACCACACTGAACTCTTTAAGAAAGTTGTTTCCATAGGTTGCGGATTTCGGGCTAGCTAAAATTGCTCAGGAGCTGGATATAAACACACATGTTTCGACCCGTGTGATGGGAACCTTCGGGTATAAGTTCTTTGCTGCATTTGTGCACCTTTCAGAGGAAGGAATAGATATTAACTGTCATCTTTTGGTTAGGTACATGGCTCCTGAGTATGCCACAAGTGGAAAGCTGTCTGAAAAAGCAGATGTTTATTCGTATGGTGTAATACTCTTGGAGCTTATAACTGGTCGGAAACCTGTAGATATGTCTCAGCCACTTGGTGATGAAAGCCTTGTTGAATGGGTAAGTGCGAGTAGTTGCGTCAACATTGGTTTCTTTAAAGTCCTTGAGTGTTGTTTAACCTCCTTTGTTTTGAATCTCTTTTCAGGCAAAGCCCTTGTTGAGTCAAGCAATCGAAAATGAAGAGTTCGGCGAGATAGTTGATCCGAGGTTAGGGGACAACTTCATCGCTGCGGAGATGTTTCGAATGGTCGAAGCTGCAGCTGCATGCGTGCGCCACTCAGCTGCCAAAAGACCAAAGATGAGCCAAGTGGTGAGAGCACTGGACACGCTTGAAGAAGCTTCGGATATAACAAACGGAATGAGACCAGGACAGAGCCAAGTTTATGACTCGAGACAACAATCTGCTCAGATAAGGATGTTTCAGAGAATGGCTTTTGGGAGTCAAGATTATAGTTCTGACTTCATTGATCGATCACAGTCACATAGTAGCTGGGGAAGTCGTGACACTCATGACCAGTCCAGATTTGTACCTTAGTAGTTATTATTGTTTTTGCTACTTTCTGCTTTCCCTTGGGCTCTTTGTATATTTTTTTTGCATGATTTTTTCACACCGAGGATCCAATACGTTTTTAGAGAATTTCAATATTATAAGTTGTCTACAGACATTTTCTGAAAAGTTATAATAGGTAACTAGATCTTGATCCGTTCGCATGGCTCTTTTTTCGGTTTAATAATTTTGTATATTTGTTATGCGAAAAAGTATTTCTGTAACATTCCAAACTACTGTCCCTGTAACATTCATTGTGCAATACAATTAGAATATTTTAACGTGAAAAATGAATGAGATTAACGTGTTAATAGGACACGAAAGAGATAGACATACTCAAGAATCTTGAATAAGAACTAATGGCAATAACTAAATGTTAATTTTCCATTTGATTGGCATAAATTAAACTGTAGATATATCATTCTGCTGTTACTCATCTGCGCGTAACCCGAGTGGTCAATGGTCACATCAGAGCCATCAAAGTAACAATTTGAACTTTTGAAGGGTCATCGTTGGAACAATCACATAAATATCTTGAAAAAGGTCAATGTTGAAAGGTCTGAGCGTTTCTGGTAATTCGACTAGAGGGTTAGAGGATCCATTTACACTTAGCCTATTTTCGGTTCGGTTCGTTCGGATTGTTTCGGATTCGGTTTGGTTCGGATAGTAAAACTAGGAACCATAAAATATCTGGAAAATTCGGTTCTCATTTGGTTCCGGTTCGGGTTTGGGTAGTTCGGATAAATTATCGGTTTATTTAGGATAAAATATCAAATATTTGGAAGGATTTAGATACAAATTTTGGATATTTTGGACTACTTTGGATATTTTAGATTAAACTATCCATGTATTTTTGGATAATTCGGATACTTTATAATTATTTAGTTATCTTCAACTATTTTTGGATACATGTAATAGGTTTTTAAATTAAAATCATATATTTAGTTATGTTATATGCATATAAAATTAATATTATTATATATTCGGGTACCCATTCGGTTCTCAGTTCGGTTTCGATTCGGTTCGATCATTTTTGATATATAAATATATGAACTGTTCGAATATTTTAAGATTTTGGTTCGGTTCCGGTTTCGGATACAAAACCATCAATTAAAAAACTACAATTGGATTCAGTAAAATCAAAATGATAAAAAAAGAGATGTAATCAAATTAACAAACCGCTGATAATGAGGTTATACCGAACAGAAAGTTTCGTCAGCATAGAGAGCGGTCGATCCTCGAGTCCAATCATGTCGCCATAAGGTCGATTTCAGACAGGATCAGTGGCAATTTGACCAAATCGAAACTATGGAGTTGAAAGCTAGTGAGATCTAGAATATGGTGGTTGCTCTTCTTTTTCATTGAATATAGATTTTGGCTCAGATGAAGAGCTTTAGAGGAGAAACTAAATGGACAAACCTTAGGTTCACTTGTAGGGTGAATCTTCAAATTCATCTCCTCTCTAATAACCACCCATGATACCGTATAGATTAATAAATAAAAATTATTGACTATGCTAACATCGTCAATTAAATCCTAAATTCAAACCGTAACTCTAAACCCTATTTAAACCCTCACTCTAAACTTTAAATCCAAACGCTATACCCTAAAACTCAAACCAAAACCCTAAACTCAAATCTTATACCCTAAATCCAAACTCTATACCCTAAAATTTAAATCCTAGACTCTAAACCAAAATTCTATACCCTAAATCTAAACCCTAAACTCTAAACCCTAAACCTTAGAACCTAAATCTTAAACCGAAACTTTAGATCCTGAAACCATAAACCCAAACCCTATACCTTAAATTCAAAGCCAAACTGTAAATTATAAACACAAATCTTACATCCTAAATATTTGGATTAATGTTGATATTGTTCCTTTAGAGTTTAATGTTAGGATTTAAGGTTTGAACTTAGAATTTACGGTCTGGGTTCATGATTTATGTTCTAGAGCTTGGATTTAGACTCTAGGGTTTGAATTCACGGTTTAAATTTTGGGTTTAGAATTCAGGGTCTAAAGTTTAGGGTTTAGAATTTACGGTCTAGGGTTTAGGTTTGGGGTATAGAGTTTGAGTTTGGGGTATAGAGTTTGGGTTTAGGGTCTAGGGTTTAAGTTTTAGGGTATATGGTTTAGATTTAGGTATAGGGTTGGGATTTAGGATCTAGATTTGGGTTTTAGGGTATATGGTTTAGATTTAGAGTATAGGGTTGGGATTTAGATCTAGATTTGGGTTTTAGGGTAAAGGTTTTGGGTTTAGGGTATAGATTTTGGTTTAGGGTTATGGCTTGGATTTGGAGTTTAGCTAGCGACATTAAAATTAGCATTATTTTTATTTTTTTATAATTATTTTAGATTTTTCAAAAATATTTAATAATTTTTTTTCATTAATCTATGTGGCATAAAGTGTGGTTATTAAAGGTGATGTGAATTTGAAGGTTCATCCTAGGGGTGGACCTAAATTTTGTTCAAACTAAATCAAGCAAATATTTAATTAATTATGTAAGTATATCTTATTAAAATAGAAGTACTTTTAGACAATGTTTGGAAATATGAATAACTGTAAAATGGTAATATAATATTGTTTGAAAACACGGATATTAGTATATTAAGAAAAACAAAGTAATGAACTTATGTTATTAGGAAAAATCTATCTTATTAAAGTGAAATACATTTAAAAAGTCTAGGAAACATGAATAGCAGTAAAAAAAGTAATATAATATTTATTTTGAAATATAGATAACAGTATATTAGAAAGAAAAAAGAGTAATGGACTTATGTTATTAGGAAAAAGTAGAAATCTGTTATATTATGAGAAACTATATATCTGGACCAGCTTTAAAATATACGAAAATGATCCAATCTAATTACCTAAAAACATCTTTTTCTCTAGAATAATCATAAAACAAAATTTAAACTTTATATACATATTCAAAATCAAAATATTAATTTAAAATTGGTTTATATCAAAAATATACATATATTCAAAAATTGATTTTACTAAAGTATTTTCCAATAACCACTATACAAAAATGTTTAAAATATATATAAGAAAAATAAAATACAAACTCCAATTTAAAACACCAACTTAAATTATATTTTTATATTTCACATTTAAATATAATATATATATATATATATATATATGTGATTATTTATATGATGGTACGTATAAAATACTATTAATTATGATTACGTATAAGATGGTATGTATAGAATACGATTAATTATATGTTGAAATATATATAAGAGTGACATGAAAAAATAAATAGCAACTTATTTTGAAAAATATATAAGAGAGAAATATTACCATCAGCTGCATAGTTCTTGAGCTATTGGAGAGCAAATACAGGTGCTGCATTAAGCGCATAATCAGACGTAGAAAGCTTGCAAAGTGCTCTCTGAATTAGATTACGGCTGGTTTTATTGTTCCTGGGAACATAAATGAGATGGACCCAATGGAGACAGATTATGGTGATTTAACAGTCCTTTGGTAAAAGTCTGCAGTAGTGTTTAATACAACATATTAGGATGGGTTCAATCTGCAGAAAAATGTAAAGCACATGGGTCAGTATCTTTAAGGGTTTAACGTTACATGCTTGTCAACTGATTACTTCCTAGCCTAGCCATAACATTCACTTTGCTATGAGAACCTCGACTATGATCAAACTAAATCAGCGAGGACACTAAAAACAGTTTCCGAAGAAGGAAGAAGAGAGAAGTAGATGAAAGCAGTCTTTTTTTTGGTAATGCATAATGACAATTTACTTGCCCGATATCATGACTCATGCAGCAAGTCAAACATATATGAATAAAAGGATTTCATTCCTGGTTTGGTGGATGTCAAAAAAGCACATAACAGTAAGGATTTTCAGCCTGTAACAGTAATCAGAATTAGAGGAAGCGAAGGAAAAGTTACGACTGTTACATGTAGATGATCACTGAGTGATGTGGAGGATCAAGAGATATACCATCCCTTGTCAGATTGAAATTCAATTAAAGAATTGTAGAGACGTTTGTGTTGAGTGATCAGGCACAGAGATATGGAGATAAGATCGCGGAATTCATCACTTGAGAGAGTGTATACAATTTTGTGCTCAACAAATCTAGAAAAGAGAAAGTTATAAAGAACTCAGACAGAGCACGACGAAAAGGAGCCATAAATGAGATTTAGGGAGGCTTGATTGGACAGAGATAGATTAGAAAGAGGAAAAGGAAGAGGAAGCGATGAAGAGGAAGGACGAAGAAATCTTCGTTGTCTAATTTTTTTAGGGTTCTTTCTTAAACTGGGCCTAATGGGCTAGAGAAAACTAATCAAACCGAAAAAAATGATAAGCCCAAACAATAGATAAGGTGTTCTCTGACGTGGCGGAAATCTGTTTTCTTATAGGTCAATTATTTTGGGTGACGTAGACACCCTCTCTACTGAGGATAACGCTCTTTTAATATTGTTAGATTAGATATTAAAAGTCATAACTCTCTGACTGAAGATTATGAAATATTCAAGTGTATTCTTAGATAATAAAATATTTTCTTTTCTCTTGAATATATCTTTAGATAATCTAAAATTTTCATTTTCCTTTAGATTTAGGGAGATGCGACTATCCTGAGATATGTGAATGTTCATATTTATTTGGAAGTTTTCCTCTTTGCCCAGAGGCATGAGGACATATTTATAGAATTAACAGCAGAAAAATGAAGAGATATCATCATTTGGAGTATAACCCTAGCATCGCAGCAATTCTCGTGTTTCAAGGGGATGACGACTCCACTTCTTGTGGTAAACCAAGGATTTGGTTTAGAGATTTGATTAGTATATGAAATTAGCAGTAACCGAGAAGCTATTAAGCAGTTTAAAGTAAAATCTAGGCAATATTTGAGGACAAAGTGCCGGATTCTATAGAGCACTCACAATGGCATTACCCTTAAGGAGTCCTTAAGTTCTGATTTATTAATTATTTTTTTCAGATTTATAAAAAAAAAGAAATAAATACCAATCACTCGTGAATCGACACGTGTCATGCGGACCCGCAAATAGTGTAAGGATCAATTTTTATTTAGAAATTTTTAAGGATTAATCTTTAACTTTTTGTGAGATCCACTGATTATTTAATTATTTTTATCCTAAAGATTCTCCTAAAGGACTCCTATTAT